TTGTTCTGGGTTTTTTACCCTGTGACATGTATTAATAAATTCATAAATTCTTTCGTATCGGTGGACGTGCGCGCGAACGTCTGTCCCTCAACACACTCCTCACTGCGGTTTTTGTGAGTACATAGTTCCTACGGTTGTTGCGTAGGATGTGTACCAGCTTACACCGCAGTGCATACTTGAGTACTACAGTTGTGAGCTGTCTCCTCCGTTTCATTGTCATTGTTACAGCAATGATAACACTTTGTTTCACTGTTCATTCTCCTTCGACGCTCGCTTAGCGGCGTAATATGCCTCTTTGTACTTGATGCATTCCGCATCACTGATGCCTTGTATGGTGTTCCTGAATCTCCGGAATTTGCTTCCTTGGAGGGGCTTGGTGAAATAATCGGCGATGATGTCTTCTGTCGGGCAATATTCCACGGTCACTTCTCCCTTCTTGATCCTGTCCGTGACAAAGAAGTATCGAATGTTAATATGCTTGGTCCGCTTAGTGCTCGACCGCTGCCCATTCCTCTCCAGCTTTATTGCACTTTCATTGTCCTGATAAATCACGTTATTCCCACCCAGGCTTCTGCCGGCCGTTGGTTGGTCATCCCTGCTGTCAGCCGCGTTGTCGGTCATGTGCTGTTGTTGGGCTTGCAAGAAATATCTGGCCCACAGGATAAACGTCATGTTGTCATCAACTCCCACCACTTCAGCCTCCGTTGAGCTCCTCGTGTTCAGCTTCTGTTTGGTGCATGTAGTGATTGCTGCTCCTGTCCCGAAAGTCATGACTCCTCCCGAGTGACTCCGCATGTCATTGTGTACAGCGAAAGCCGCATCAACATGCCAATATACGTTCCCAGACCCATCCCATCCCAGCACAAGGGGGATGTAGGGTGTCGCTGCTAGATAGCTCATCACCCGTCGCAGCTTTTTCCAGTCGTCCTGGTCAGGGCCGGACACCCGGGTGCACAGGAATGCTACTGCAGTTTGGATGTCGGGCCGCGATCTCTTTGCCATGAAAAGTAGCTTGGCTACATAGTGGTGGAACTTGTCAGCATCCGCTTCGCTGAGCTTTTGTGCTTCCTCATTCACTTTGAACAGGTGTTCGGCCGCAGGTGTTGCTGCTGCACCGCCCTTCAGGCTGTTGGGAAGATTCTGGAGGATTTCTTCGAGGTAATCAAACATGCTGAACTTGACCTTCCCTTCTTCGGAGTAATCTATGGTCATTCCCACATAGTCATGTATCTTACCCCGGGTCTCTGTCAATGGGGATTCCTTGCCGAACTGTTCATTCAACTGACGTATAACATCACTAACTACTGTTGCGTCCGCATGTGAGATCTTCAGGTCATCAACATGCCACACGATGGTGCACTGCTTCCMGTTGATCATTTTATTCACKGTACATGGATCATATGGGTTGAGTTCAAATCCCCACTCCTCAAGCTGGCCATACAGCTTCTCCCAGAACAGCAATGCAGCTCGAAGGGTCCCGTATATGGCCTTTTCTGCCTTGGTGAACAGAGTCTTCTTCCCATTCCTGTTGATCAAGTATTTCCTGTACATCTTAGGGTCCACTCTACATAGCAGCTCGGCCATGGTTCCATCGAGCCTGATATACACATCCTCACCCTCTGGCATTGGTGTTTGCAGGAAAGCTCCGGGGATATCTACTGTGGCCACGTCCCTACCCTCAATTGCATCGATGACACAGGACAGTACCAGCGCATACAGCGACACAGTTGGTGATGCTGCATCCTCTTTGCGAATGTATTCACGTTGCCTCCTCCCATTGGCGCATCCCCTCCCTTTGATGGATGTATCCCTTTTCCGCTTCAGGAACATGAGATAAGGTAGGGCTTGTGCGACCATCTCTCTAGTCATTTGCTTTGGGTCCAGGGCTGACACTACTCCTCTGTCGTGCAGCTGTTTTAGCTCCTTCAGCACCGCTTCCACCCCTTCTGCACCAAAGCGTCGGATCCCTTCTTTTACACCGTACTGCTTGGTTGCATGTGTAGCCTCGAGATTGTTATAGTTTGCGATTGCATTTGCCACTAGCATAATACTCGCATCATGCTCAGCAAGCTGCTGCACTTCCTGCATGTAACCTGCAGTGAAGAATGATCTGGCGCGGGTTGTACTTTCAAATCCCTCCTGTTCTGTGAACTTGTTATGTGATTTGGTTACTCTCTCCCGGAGTCGTGAGCTGACTGGCTCTACCACTTCCTCCACTATATTGTCAGGCTCATTTTCGCCCTCCTTGCCTGGTTCTTCTGCATCGTCATTTGCATCAGTCTCCAACACGTCCGCCTGCTGTTCCTCAACATGGGGGTCCTCCTCTGGGGTGTCGGGATCAACATTGGTAACATCTATCTCATCTCTCACGTCTGCATCGACATAACCACTCAGCTCTGTCTCCACTGATCCACTGTCGTCGGGGTTGTAAGACCTGTCCGATGCATCATCATCATCCAAGTTTGGGCTGTCATCCAGGTCAAGAATTGTTGTCTTTCCATTGGCGTCTCCAAAGCAGACCCCTGTGGGCATCTCCTGGGCCTCAGCCACCCGTGTTACTTGTTGCAGGATTGCTTTGGTCAGGGGTGTTGGTGTGGCATGCTTTCGATGGATCCTCTTACAGCTGTTTATGTCAAAAGCATAGAAGCCGCCGGTGATTGATCCAGTGGGCCTCAGGTACAAAGCATCCACAGCCCGTGGCTTCATTGTATTGTCGGTATCATCAACATGTGCTAGGATTGGTTCCATAAACTGGAACTTACAGTCCTGGCTCGCGTTGAGGCACACTCCTGTCATGATCTCCCTAATTGACTTGGTCCTGTGTACTCCCGTTGTCCGGCAGTTCAACCAGTATGTCGCCGCGTAGATCAGCTCAATTAGACACCGTCTTGGAAGCTTCTTGAAAGGTAAGTGGTTCACGTAGCATCGCACACTTTCCTTGAGTGTTCTATTGCTGCGTTCAATGGTTGGCTCATGCTGTCCTGCTGCGACACAGTACATATCCACTGGTGGTGATAGCCTTAGGAGATCATCCCGCAAGCACTCAAACTGGTTGTCTCCACTCACTTGTGTTACTGTGAATCCCCTGCTCTTGTATTGCCCAATCAGGCTCTCCACGCATTCTAACAGTGTACTTTGCTTCACATTGGTCACTGCTCTGCTGGTCCGGAAGCGTAGGTGTCTTGATATCGAATGGAAAAACTGTATCCCGTTCACTGTCATTATATCCACATGGAGCATTACTGTCCCGTATCTGTCGAGCACATCTGTTGGCACAGGTGCTACATCCTCCCGGATGTGCTTCCCCTGCCGTCGTACTGACTTCCCTTTTACAATGCTGGTGTGCTTGCCGTATATTGCTTCTGCATTCAGTATATCCCGGCGTGTAACCCCACAGTTGGTCACCAGCTTGTTTTCAACCATGTACACCAAATCCTTGGTTGTTGGGAACCCCATGGCTTCCTGTAGTTTCCTTGCTTTGATTGCTCGCCTGCAGTCAAGGTCGGAGAACTCAGTCTGCCTGCCTTCCACTGATGTTATCGTGAGTATCGTTCCGCTGGTTTGTGCCATGTCACAATAGTACAAGTTGCACTTGGATCTTTTGAAGCGTCTTGTTCCTCCGCTGGGCCTGTGCACATATAGTGCATTGTCACAGTCTGTATCCATGGTCACCCGGAAACGATCAGACACTAAGGCAAGGGAGAGGACGTTGGCTATTCCTCCTTTGTAATACCAAACCCTTCCGAACCCTGGTAACTCCGCAATCATATTGGTCTTCGCAATCCCTGAGTTACAGTATATGTGCATGGTCTGTCCGTTTGGTGCCACCCTAATGTTCTCCAGTAAGTTTGGGTTCACGATGAGATTGCATGAGGATTCACTATCCAGTAGAATCCAGTTTGGGTTCACTCCTCCTTTACTGTGCCCATCAGGCTGCGCAAACATTCGTTCCACTCTATCACTGTACTGGAACGTGTTTCTGATCTCCTTGTCATTATCCTTGCTCCCACTCCTCACGTCTGATAGGTCAATGTTGCTGCTGTTCGGTGTGTTTAGTACTCCCTTTTGGAAAAAACAGTTCTCCTCCAGGTTCCCAAAATCCTCGTCATCCTCCACCGCTCGCATCAACAGTTGGTGGCTGGTCAGCTGAACCTCATCTTCTTCGTCTTCATCCTCATCGCCCTCGGCCGTTGTAACTGTGCCGGCTGTAACGAATGTTGTTGATTCATAGTGCTGTGTTCTTCCTCCTGGCCTTCCGCCGGTCT